GCCCAGCGTCGCCTGGGCGTCCTCCGCTGAGTGCGCCAAGATTTCGTGTCCACGTTGGGCCCTGTGTGATTTCTGGTGTTCTGATATTGCAAGACTGCGCTCTCGGGGATATGGGAGGGTGTACCCGAGCCCTCAAAATGGTCACTTTCCAATGAAATCTCTTCTTGGGGAGCCTGTTTATCATGGCTGGGCACCCTCGCCGTTTCGGCGCGGCCTAAGGCCTTCCTTCTGCAAGGAAGCCAATCAAGCCTTCTGTGAGGAGCTCAATAAAGCCTCCTATAAGGAACCCAACTTCTGTAAACCCAACAAGGCCTTCCCTAAGGAGCCCGATAAGGCCTTCAGGAGCCCAGTAAGGCCTTCTGTATGGAGCCAAATAAGGCCCTTTGTAAGGAGCTCAATAAGGCCTTCTGTAAGGAGCCCAATAAGGCCTTCTCTAAGGAGCTCAATAAGGCCCTCTGCAAGGAGCCCGCTAAGGCCCTTTGTAAGGAGCCCAATAAAGCTCTTCTGGGTAAATTTCCTGAACAGGCTTTAGATTACTTTCACGCCAGAACGGTTCAAGGGTGATTCCGGAACTGGAAACGGTGAGTTTCAGGCTACCAGGAACACCCTGGAACCGTTCCAGGTGATTCTGGAACCGGAAACGTTGGACTTTGTAGATCTCCTGGTCGACATTCTTCGGCATGCAGGGGCTGAGCAGGAACCTGTCGTCCACCATCCATCTGTGGAGGCAGAGAGGGGGCGAGAAACAACACCTCGCTGCAGGTCCGCAGAAACGGGCTTGACGACCTCCGATGACCCTGCAAAGATGGGGTCGCCTGCCGAATCCGACAGCCAAATCCCAGCAGCCAAGAAGTTCGGCGAACGCTGGCCTACTGCAGTCCAAATCGCCGACTGTGCATCCAAACGAGCAGTGGTCGCCTCCAGCTGGGACAGGCGTAAGCCCGGCAATGCGAACTGCTTCATGCAGATGGCGTGCCACTCTGGGGAGTCACTGGCGTCGTCGTTGGAAGAAGCATCAATGCCAGGCCGTGCCGCCGCGGCTGCAAGGGCATATGGTTAGTCGAATTCGTCTTGGGCATCAGCCCAACAGCTGCGGTGCTCCACCTGGCGTGGCTGCGCTACACCGTGGGCATCCGCGGCGGAAGCCTACTATTTGCGACGGGCAATGCTCCCAACCATACTCCAGATCTGGAAGTCACGCGCCTCCCGTTTGGAGAGGTGGCCGCTGCGCAGAGGGAGCCAGTGCGCCTGTGAGTCCCCGCTTGGAGCTCCACCGTCCGCACGTTGTCCGTCGCTCGCGCCCTTCTCTTCGCTTCGCGGACCACGTTCTGCGGGGCATCGGTGTGGGCAAGGCCAGGGCCAGTGGAGGGGGAGGAGGATGAGGAGGAGGAGGAGGAGGAGGGGGAGGAGATGGTGGGGGAGGAGGAGGGGGAGGAGGAGGGGGGGGAGGAGGAGGAGGAGGAGGGGGAGGGGGAGGAGGAAAAGGAGGAGGAGGGGGAGGAGGGGGGGGAGGGGAGCAGGCATCGTCGTTGGACAGCACGTTGGCGCCGAGCCTCGGTACGGTTGTCGTCACCTGCGCCTGCGCGGGCGAAGTGGACGTCTTCGACCCTCCACAGGTGAGAGGGACAGGAGGGCGCCGCGCCGGTGGCGGGGACCCGCTGGTAGCCAGCACCAGAGCTTAGAGAGCATCGGCGCACCCGCAGCGAAGAGAAGCGAAGAGAAGGAGCACGTAAGCATCAGCGCGCCATGGCCTCCGCGCCTGCAGAGTCGCCGCTCGGCCTCGGGGCTGCGCGCGCGGGAATGGCACTTGAGCCAAAATGGCCACGGAGGGGGGAGGAGGAGGAAGTGGAGGAGGAAATGGAGGAGGAGGGGCACCGTCCGAAGAGGAGGAGGATGAGAAGGATGAGGAGCAAGAGTAGGATGATGGAAGGCGGAGGATAAGGAGGATAGGGGCATACGGCATACTGACAGCAATGGTGACAACTATGATGAGAGTTTGCGGTGAATCCAACTTCAACATTGAACATCATCGCAGTGTGCGCCAATTGCATGGCGTCAACGAGTAGCTTAAATATGTAAACACAGTACATCGAGTCGAACAGCAATCACATCGCCGCAAGCTGGGAACGTTCCTCCTCCTTCTCGTCTCCTCACTCCTCTTCTTCCTCCTCCTCCTACTATCGCCTCCTCCTCCTCCTCATCCTCCTACTGCTCTTCTCGGCTGCCGCATCCATGCGATGTGGCCCTCGCCCGAAAGTTGCGAGCTCGGCTCGCGCTTCGATGACGACGGAACCAAGGGCTCCACTCGCCGAGCCCCACGGCGGAGGAGCTTGGTGCATGCCTGTCTCTGGGCGGCCGTGGCGGCGCGCACAGGTCAGGAGGCAACCCCTGGGAGGCCCTCGTGGGAACGATCAGAGATTATGAAGCCCAGTTAAGTTGCTCTTTGGTAGACTTGGGCTGGATCAGGCTCAGGATTAATGCCAGGGTTGAGTGGGATCTAGGGGGGCCAGGACGGATTAGGGCGGCTGCCGACCACGGATATGCCAGCGCTGATGCCGAACTCACTCTCCCAGGAGGGGAAGAAGAGCACAACGAGGTATGGCGATATAGCGAATTGGGCGGCCCCCTGAAAAGGCAGGACGCTTCTCAGAAGGCCTCGGGTCTCTTCGCAAAGGGCTCCAATGCGGGCTCGTAGAAGGCAAGATCGCTTCTGAGAGGCGGAGCGTTTTCTAAGGAAGCCGCGAACCTCGCCGTGCCGCCCCACCGGTGCGCGCCGCCCGCAGCCGCCTCTTCGGGCTGGTGCCCTCCCGCCTGCGTACCTATGGGGCTGTCAGTTGCCACTCAGGATCAGACATCGCGCAGGCTGGCGCGGCTGCGGCAGGCTCAAGGGGAGGGCGATCAAATAAGCTGCATGGTTCCTAGTGTATCGTCGCGAGGAAGTGTTGAAACAGGGAAGGTGTTCAGCTGTAAAGAGCGCAGAAATGCATGGTGGCCACGGCTGCGCAGACGAGCCCCTGACACAGAATATACTTACAACAGAACTGAAGCGACTATATAAACCAACTTCAGCGCATTGGCCTGTGCGTTGTCAGGTCGTCTTCTGGAACGAGACCCGCATCAAGCAGTCCAGAATAGGTGACAAGTGGAGACTCATCTCCGCTCACAGCGCTGCTTCCACTGACTCGGTCGTCCTGGCAATTGAAAGCGTTCGCGCTGTTCTTTTTCTTCACCGTTCTGGACCCGTCCTTGCCCTGGTGCTCTGCGCCGAATGGAGCCCGGCCAGAGTTTTGCGCCCTGACGCGCGGCGCATCCCCGCCGCTGACCTGGGCGTACATCTGCATGAGGAAATTCAAGCCCGTTCCGCCTGAGCTAGAAGCAAAACTGGTTCCTGTGCCTTCCGTTAGGTCGGGCAAGTCCCCCCACAGGCGGATTTTGGACGACAAATGAAAAATAGTCAGAAATACCCAAAGCCTGCTGAAACAAATGCAAACAAATGTCCCCGTATTATTCTTAGACTTTTTTTGAACATTCCTCCTGTGGAGGGACAGGCCCGGCTTAAGCCTTCCGACGTCGTCGACTCGCCCTTCTCGTCGCCCTCCTCGAGCTGGCGGTCCCCGGCGTCTCTTCCCGACCGCCTGGCTCCGCGACGGGCGGCCTTGCCTCTGGCATCCTCGGCCTCCTTAGACGAGCTTCCCAGATCGGGCAGATCGGACCAGACCTGGCTCGTCGCGGGTGATCCAATATCTTTTCCGTTGTTTCTTTTGTGTTTTCTCTCACTCTCTATATCTACCTATTTCTCTGTGCCTCCTCTTTTTTTTCAACGGCATTTCTCCTTTTCTCGCTCTCTCTCTCTCTCTTTTTTTGTTTCCCTCTCTCTCTCTCTCGCTCCTTTTCCCTGTCCTTACCTCTCTCCTTCTCTCTCTCTCTCTCTCCCACCCTCCTTCTCTCTCTCTCTCCTCCTCTCTCTCTCTCTCTTTCTTTCTCTCTCTCTCTCGCACGTTTGCGCTGTTTTTTACCGAGGCGGGTAATCAATTCAAGCTGAAGCACCCGGACGTCTCGTGTTTGGGACAATTCAAACTCATGGCCGCTGTGACCTGCTAGTGCTGTGAAAATGCAACACACGCAGCCAGGATAGACGGCGTGAGAATGCCTTCTATGACTGGAAGGGGGCAACCACCTCAGAGGGAGACAATAGCGATCGACCAAGCCCTCGTTGTGCCAACACGCAGTCGAAGCGAAAGTGAGCCTTTCAGTCCCGAACGGTCTCATGGCCTGGCAAAGCGTGCTTCACCGCACTGGGTCTCAGCGGGGCGGACAGATCACTGGACCAGGCCGCGACCGCTTCGCATCGATCCCGAGTCTGCCGCTGGAGCGATCGGCGAGCGCATCGCGAAGGCCATCGGAAGTCCCCCCTGGGCAGCGGCCTGAGAGGCGTGGCCGCCAGCACACCTAGCAACGCCATGAGCTGCCAAGGGGCCAAGGTGCAGACGAGATGACTGCAATGACAGTACTCCTCAGCGAAACCGAGGGAATGCCTCCCGAAGCGTCCCAACGCCGACGAGACGCGCAAAAGGGGCCAGTGCGACATGGCGGCCTTCGCAAAAAGCGTGGGGCATCACGACAACTCTCGAGGGGGCGATCCTTTCCAAAATCCCCTGCCATCTCAGGCCGGACCCCCCCGTTCCGCCACCTCTCACGAGCCGCCCACGGTGCCGCGAGACGTCCGGACCCATGTTTTTGTCGCACAGGCGCACCCCACGTGCTCAGAGACCGCTGCGGTGGAACTCCACGGTGAGGATGCAAGACACTTGGATGCCCAACGCAGCAAGCGCTGTCGGGCTGACGACACATGGCGGGTTCCGGGAACCCGGAGCCCCCCAAATATGTCATCTCTCCGAGAAAAAATGTCTGCTTCCGCCGGCGTTCCGCCAGCGTCCGCCGGCGGAGAGCCGCCACCGCTTGCTTCCGCCAGGCTCCCGCCGAAGAAGAGATGTCAACTCCTTCGATCCTCGCAGGCGAGGCCCTTTCTGGAGCGCCCCAAGTGGCAAGGGCAAGGGCCGGCCGATGAGAGAAGGACACGCAGGTGCGGCGGCCTCTGGAGGTCCCCTGGCGCCTCCGGGGGTCCCTAAAATCCGTTGGAGGCGTGAGGAACACCAAAAGCCTGGAACACCTCGTGTCGCGACAAAAGTCACGACGGAAGCACTTTGGCAAGTTTCGGCCTCTGGGGGCCTTGCCGAGCCCCAGGGCTGTCGAAACACGACCCGGGATGAAGAGCCAGTCCTGGGGGGCCCAGGGTCCAGGTTTTGAGCAGATCTCTACATCCAGGGCTTGCAGAGGGCAAGCACCCTTGATCCTCGGTCCTCGACGCAGCATCCCTGCGAAGCACCGCATCGTGCACAAAGGCCGGCCTCGCTCGGGCGACCAGGCCCGCGCCCCACCCCCCAAAATCCCGCTCTCGGACTATCGGCACCTGCCGCGAACTTTTTGCGGTGTGTGTGTGTGTGTGTGTGTGTGTGTGTGTGGGGGTCTCGACCCTTTCAGCGGGGACTGACTTTACAGACACAACATCACATCGGGCCATCGGGCCGCATCGGAACCTGCGTCGCACTGGCCTGCATCCGAACGGCATCGACATCGAATCGGATCGGATCGGCTGCGCCGGGATGCGCAGCAACGCTGCGCAACCGTCGGGCCGCATCGGGTCGTCGGAACATCGGAGTCGAATCGCATCGAGCCGGCCGGAATCGATATCGACTTGGATCGACTGGATCGAAATAAGGCCCTGCCCGGGTGGCTCTCTATGGCGGCGCCCGGGGCCCCCCTTTAGGGGCCCCGAGCGGTGAGACGCTGGGCGTATCGATGCTTGTTTTCGCTTCTGCGGGGGAGCTTGCAAAGTCCGCGGGCAGCCGAGCCCCGGTCCCACTTTTGCTGCTCGTAGGTCTTGGTGCCGTTGCTGCTGAAACAGGAGTTGTGGGGCTTCCACTGCACGACGCGGGGCCCTGGCTCCGCCTCCACCAACTCCTCGGGGGGGGGAATGGAGGGGTGAGAGTTTGGACGCCCGAAATGGGTACGGAAATAATGGTACAATGCCCAACAACAAATGTTGTCCCAAACCAACAGCGGCCGCTGTTGGGCAGGCGGCCTTCTGTCTCGAATGGAGACAGGCCGCGGCGGCGTGGACAGCGAGTCCTGTTCAGAATGGAGAAGATCCGCTGTTGGGCACTGTACCCATTCCTTCCGTGCCCACTTCGTTCGTGCAGCGAGAAGCACCCGTGCACGCGGAACGCCGACCCGGGTGAGCTGGCCCGACTGCGCTTCGGGGTGCACCACCGCCGAAGCCCCCCGGCCGAGGCCGAAGCGCACAGAGAACGGACCCCCGGGGGGGGGGCTCTCCCGCCCTGCCCAGACCGACTCGAGAGATCGATCCCCGAACCCCTCCCGGAGTCCGCCCGGATCGGCCTCTCCACGCGGCTCTGGCCGTGGTGTTGGGTCGGGCGTGTCCTCCCACAATGAGGCTCTGGAAGAAGCAGCAAGCACCGCCGAAGCATACCCGCAACAGGAGTCAAACCATACTCGCAAACGCTCCCCCGGACCACTTCTTCCCCCGCTCTTGCGTATTCCTCCTGCAGAGGGACGTGCCCGACTTGGCCGTGGCGACGAGAGGCCTCTGGGAGGCCGGGCACGCGGCGCGGCACACGCCGGGGAGGGTCGCCGTGTCCCTGGCGGGCCCTCCCCCGAGCAGCAGCAGCAGGAGGAGGAGGAGGAGGAGGAGGAGGAGGAGGGGGAGGAGGAGGAGGAGGAGGAGGAGGAGGAGGAGGAGGAGGAGGAGGAGGAGGAGGAGGAGGAGGAGGAGGAGGAGGAGGAGGAGGAGGAGGAGGAGGAGGAGGAGGAGTAGGAGGAGAAGGAGGAGGAGGAGGAGTGGTGGCAGGCAGGGCGGGGCCGGCGCAAGGAGGTTGGCCTTGCAGGCTGCGCGCACGGGATCGGACGCAGAACGTTGGACGTAGCCCAGACTTTCGGAACCTTCGTGGAAGCCATAAGCAAGACGTGGAGTGCGGGTATCGACCTGCCAGCCCTCTAGCTATTTTTCTACAGAGTCGACGAACCTTTCAGCACTGGGGCGCATCGATTCTGCAGTCGATTTCCGATTCGGAAGTCAAGATGGGGGGATGGCCTCTCAGAATGTTGATGTACCCCAGACTTGGAACCGTCGTCGAAACCACAAGCAGGACGTGGAGTGTCGGTATAGAGCTGCCAGCCTTCTCTAAGTATTTCTTCAGAGTCGACGAAACTTTCAACATTCATTGAGATCCGACGTCTCGAAAAATGGAACACCGCGGAAAACCACCACCAGAGCCCTAGACCCCATCTGTCTGCGTCCTTTTGCGAGCCGGATCGATCTGTGAGGGTCTCAGGGCCCGAAATGGAGCAAAATCGCCCGGCTCGAAAGAATAGAGTCGCCAGGATCTCAGGGTTGGGGTGCATCGATTCTGCGGTCGATCC